CGAAGGGAAAACAAACGGCGGAATACACAAAAAAAATTATCGAGAAGTGTTTAGATAAGTTCGGAATCAATAAAACTAATATTTTAGGCCTCAGTGTTGACAATGCAGCAGTGAGTAACATATTTTGAAATTCACTATATTTTTTGTTAATGAAAAAAATTTATAAATATGCGATTAAAGCTATTATTTTCCATAAAATCATTTAAAAATTAAACTGTTTTGATAAAACCTTTTGTATACTGTATATTTTGTATATTCACTAAACTTTAAATTAACTATTGCAATCATATTTAATATCTTTAGGCGAATATAAAGTTGGTGCGCGACTTTGACATCAGCGCTGTTAAGGAAATTGTAGATAATAAAGACGATTTTTCAGTAGAAACTGATGAACTTGACAAAGATGGTTATTCTAAAGCAGACAATGCGGCAGCAGTCTTGGCAAGTGGAGTTGCGAGTAACGTGAGTGTTATACATCTTTAAAGATGTGCTGTCCACATTTTACAGCTAGGTGTAAATAATGCATTCAAAAGGCCCACAATAAAAAATCTAATTAACCATGCCAGAGATGTCAAAACTGCAAGAAATTTGAAGTGGGTTGGCTTCTTCAGGGACTAAACTCTACATCTCATTCCAATTTTAGATCAGGCTACCCATTGGTCTAGGCAGTTCAATATGATTGAGAGGCTAGCTAAGGTAAGTTATAACTTATAACTTCTAAGTTTTAATCAAAGTTTATAAACCAGTTTTAATCAAAGTTTATAAACCAGTTAACCGATATAATATAAATCCAATTATTTCAATGGTAATGACATTTATACTACTTAATAATTTTTAAATGCTAGTTTATGTAAATATTTCTTTAATAATCGTCTTTATTTAAGTAGTTAATAACTTTGTACATATATTTAATGAATTCTTCTGTTCTTCTAGATTGGACCAGTAATTCAAAATCTAAATATGCAAAAAGAAGCTCCTAAAGAATTTAATGTGCGACCATGTTTTTGGGGTATGTGGGAGGAATTGAGAGATGCACTGCATATGGCATACGATCTTACTACTCGTCTTCAATGTGAAAATATCACAATAAAGTGTGAACTTGACGGGAAGGACAGTGACTTAGCCAAAGATTTCCAAAAAGAAATGGATAATAGAGAAAGCGCGCTATGCGAAAATTTGTTGTTTCTTGCAGTAGTTTACATTGATATTAGGCATGGCTGTATGCTAACAGCGACTGAAGATAAGGTTTTTTTTTTAATAAAATTTTATTTATATATATTTATTTATTTAACTTTAAAAAATACATATTCCAAAAAGTATAAATACTTCTATAGATAACTGCAGCTGATGGACTTGGGAAAATACATTACAAACTGATTCAACTTGCTAATGAAAATAAGAATAATGAACTCAATAAAACCAAAAAAGCAGTAGAGCGCAACTCTTTTGCAGTTTATGTGTCAGACTCTAGTTCAGAAAATGAGAATATTTCACCAGTCGCAAAGCGTCGACCAAATTTATTTAAGTTGTGTGAACAGGAGGTTTAAAAAAATTCTTCAGAAGAACAAATGCAGGTTCAACTAGATGTAATCGAAAAGGAGTTTCGACTAGCTCTAAAAATAATTCCAGAAATCAGTTCAATGTTTAAAGATAAATCATCCAACTTAGACGAGTTTTTAAAACTTAACCCATTAAAATCAATTAAGCAGTTCCCTGAAGTTGTACGGGACGCCTACCGAGTCGCTACCCATATCCCAAGTCAGTGTCAAGCGTATGTTTTCAGTCTTAAAGCACATGACACCAGACCATCATAGTTGATTTACATCTGAGTTAATTGATGATATGCTTTTTTTACCAACAAACGAGTATTTTATTTGAACATTTTTCGATGATGTAGATATTGTAATATTTTGTCCTTGTAACTTTACAATTTAGCGTGCAATTAATGTAAGCATTTAAATCTTTTTATATTTTTATGATCATGTGGTTTCAAATAATCTGAGAAATTGAGTGCCACATCTGAGAAAGCTGTGTGTGCGACAATACAAATCAAATAAAAATCTTTGGATTTGTATTGTTCTTATAAATTCTTACGATCCAGCAAACGCGAGACAAATTAACTTTTGGGTTTAAGCAGCCGTGGCACAATGGTAGCGCACTTACTTAAAAAAATAAGGGATCGGTGGTTCAAACCCACCTTTGGTTTTGCAACGTCGTATTGGAAGTAGGAGTGAATTTTCTGTTAATTGATTTTCCAAGGTGCTCTGTTATAAGACTGTAAAGACTTCTCAGGGTACATAAAATAAACATATACATAATTCATAAGAGAAAATATTATTGGTACCCTCTCATTTTTCCAGAATTTTCGCATAAAAGTTCCAGATAATAAAACCCCCATATTTAAATAAAGAAAAAAAAAATTATTCTGGAGTCCATAAAGTCCATGATTTTTGAGCTCGAAGTCCGGAGTCCCAAAAATTAGATGGAACTTCACATCCCTGCTGTAAATTCCCTAAATGCAAAAACAATTTTGGGTTTAATAATTTGTTCTTTATTTAGTGGAAAACAGTTTTTGTATAAAGCATTACCAATAATAGGTTTAGATTAATTTTCAATATGAATTAATTTTCAATATGATCTAACAATTCAAACAATTGAAACAATGAAAAATTGTAATGGCTCTGTTGTTGCTATTCTTTGCGACAATAACAAATTAAGTAAAAAGCTTTTTGGTTGTTTAATCCCTGTAATACTTGGTGCACTAATGATAACATTTTCGTTCTATAAGACTTAGTTCATTTGATAAAATCCATTTGCAATAATTGGCTCAGAAAAATGTTAAGACCTATGTTTTACTTACAAAGATATTTCAAAAACTGCAAAATGGTCAGGTCTTGAAAAGCTTTTTTAATTTGAAAATGTGAAATTGTCCTTCATGAAACTGCAATTTTTCCTAAACTAATTGAACATCAAAATGTGTCAACTTGTTTGAGAGTATTTTGTGATGAGGCTGTAGCTGCTTTAAAAACTCATCCATTATTTAATGGACAGAAAAAGTTTTTTTTGCGACAACTTAACCATAGCTTTTTAGATTTTTAAAAACGTTTCAAAAATGCAATAAATAAAGTATTAAGGTAATAAAGCTAGAAATTGCTTTTACAGATACTATAAAAGATTATAAAAGATACTATAAAAAATTGTTTAAGTTATTGAAAGATTATATTATATCATACTTTTTACGATGAATGTAAATGTTTTTAAAACAGTTTGTAAAATTAGTTTTATAAACAACAATGAAAACAATTGTTTTAATAAACTTTTTTGATGAATCCATAAATGTAATAGTCAAAAACATAACAAAGTTTTTTTTTTTTTGTTATATTATGTAAACTTTCTAATAAAATTTGTTTACACTAAACTAAACGCTTTTAAATAAGCTTTAAAACAGAATATTAAATAAAACTTAAAATTTATTTAAAAAGTTTTTTTTTAAATGATGAATGTAGTTTTTTTTAAACAACTTGTATTCTTAATTTTATAATGCGTTTCAATAAACTTTTTTTTAAAAATACTTTATGATAATTTAAACAATGTTAGTTTTTTATTAAATAATAATTAGATGGAAGTTTTTGTTTTTTTTATTCAAAAGTTCACCTAATTTTATAAAAAAATATAGAAAAGATCAAAGTTTTATGGCTCCTCGCGATTTATTTGCTACTCCCTAATAAAAAAAAATCAGTTAGAACCTTGATAAACCAACGCGAAGAGTTATTTAATCTTAACATAATTACAAAACATATTAAAATATAATTTTCTATTAGCTATTATTATTTCTCTTTTATTTAGATTTCTTTTTTTATTATAGTTTAACCTGTTTATAATTTTTTTCCTTTGTCAGTTTTTTCAGCGCGCTTTTAATTATCTAAAAAGCTGTGGTCAAGCTTTCAAAAATAAGCAATTACATGCATGGTCATTGTGTGGATTGGAGAGCGATCATATACCTTTCCTGTCCACGACTGCCATCCATAAAAAATGTTGACAACATCACAGTTTTTTTAATCTATTTTTATTAAATTTTTTAAAATTGCTAATGTTAAAGGACCTTATGAAAATATTTTTACTAAAAATAAATATTGTGCTGTTTTTTCATCAAACATCGATAAACGATTGAACTTTCTTTTAAAGTTGGTTAATATGGTTGAAAAAATGGCTCCTGAAAAACTAGGTCTGACTAAAAAATTTAACTATAGATAGTTCTTGTGTTTTTTCTCATACATGGTTGAACAAGTAAAACATTTACTAACTACAAGTCATATGAATGTTTGCCTTGAACATTTTACTAGTGACCCTATTGAGAAAGCATTTGGAAAACTTCGGCAAGGATCAGGTGGTACCTATTTTATAATTAGTCAGCAAATATTACAAAAAGTTGATATTAAAAATACAAAACTTTGTCTGAATATTGGTATCACTGCTAATGATTTAGAAGTACCATCAAGCCATTTGTGTGACAAATATAACTATATAAAGCAATACAATATTTGGCCAGATAAAAATCTGGCAATTTTTTTGCAACTAAATATCATTTTCATGGTCAGTAATCAAGAGCGATCGCTCCCGCTTCCTGACCAAGCCTGATATATATATATATATATATATATATATATATATATATATATATATATATATATATATATATATATATATATATATATATATATATATTATATATATATATATATATATAGCCTTCAGAATTAGGATCAGCATTCAGCAATGCCAACTTAACTGCTAACCCTAAAATATTTGAGGTCGGCAAAAAATTGTCCACCTCCTTTCTATTTTTTTAATCATAAAAACTTTTACTTTGACTAAACTTTTTCTGAATAAAGTTCTATAGAAAACCTTTCCCTAAACAAGGCACTAATTAATGTTCATTGTCCCTAATTTGACCAGAGATGATTAAATAACATAACATTAACTTAAGAAATTATACATACAGCCTTTGCATTTCCTCCTAATTGCATGTGACGGAGTTGAAGCCATGTCCAGTTGGTATCTAATTGAGTAGATCTGAAAAAGATATATAAATTTTAGAAAAATCACTAATTAATAGATTTAATGATATTTTACTATTATTAATCTCATATAGTTTTTTCCTTAATTTTTTTTTTTAAGTTTAGGTAAATCATGTTCATACCTGATAAATGTAAGGTGAACTCCTAAATGTCGATGAACTGCTGAGCAATCGATGCAGAGAAATACACCATATGTTATAGATGCCCAAGTAGGATTTGATGCTCTACAATCAAAGCAACTCTAAAAAATAAGCTCACAATCAGATCATATCAAATATAACTCATTACAAAGTTTTTTATGGTTTACAAAAATAATATTAACTTGATCATTTCTTTGTGTAAATAGTATATCATTGTTTCAAGGTGATATGATGTTTATTGTAATACTGTTTAATAAAAAAGGAAGATAAACACATGTGTTTGCTCATATCCTCTCAGAAATATTGTTGATACAAGACAATTTTTGTTTTATAGATTTTCATTTTACCTTTTATCCATTTATCAATTTTCAAAAAAGGAATAAATACTGTATTTATGCGAAATTAATTTATTTTAAACAGTTTTTCAAAACAAATAAAAAATTTATGTTTCACATTGATTTTTCCATAACAAAAAATAATATATTGCTTTTTTATGATACTATACAAAAGAGAAACAAGAATTTCTTGTAAAAATTGATACTTGCTTATTTTTAATCTTAAACAAGAGATTAATAGAAATCAAACAAATTTAAATAATAAAAACTTTATAAAACAATAAATACCCTTATTTAAAAAGAAAAACTTTCTAGTCAATAAATTATTACAATTATAATTTCATTTAATTACTTTTTAAAAAAATATTTAAATGTAATTGGTTTCTTGAATTTAAATGGTTTTGATTTAAGTGTATTATAAAATATAAATTAATTTCAATTTTTCACCTATATGACCAATTTTAAAATTGATTAATTTTATTCTTAAAAAAATAAAATAATTAAATTAAAAACATGCTTGAGACATTGCTTTAGATTACCTTTCTTATAGCACAAAAAAAAAAAAATAATAATAATAGTAATAAATTAATTGAATTATTTCCCTTTGCATTTAAAATATTTTTATTAATTTTATTGTTAAAATTTTAGAACCCCTTATTTAAACTCATTTTTTAGTTCTTTAAAAAGAAATTTCTTGTTTGTTTCATTTTCAAAAATGTTTACACTTAGAGATGGTTGATGGAATTAGAGATGATAGCTTCTTTGAGCAGCAACGATTATACTTTTTTTTTTTTTTTTTTATTTGCATTCACTCCCAACAAGGCTGCAAGCAACCACTATTAAGTTGGGAGTTACTAGGAAAAAAAAGAACAGATTTATAGAGTAAGGAAACGGTTGACAGAAGACTTGAAAAGTTGAAGGTTGTATGAGTCAGGAAAACATAAAGATGGGAGAGAGTTGCAAAGGATTGAAGTGCGGGGAAAAAAACTAGATGAATAAAAGTTTTTAGAGCATGCAGGGACAGATACAGTAAACGAATGAGACTTAGCTGAATGACGAGTAAAACGAGAATGAATTTTAGTTGATGGAACTAGAGACGATAACTCCTTTGAGCAGTGACCATGATAGTATTTGTAGAAAAGAGAAAGAGATGCAACTTTACGACGATGGGAAAGAGGTTCAAGCTTAGCAGATAGTCCAGGTCCAACAACATTTACAATGTGATTTTGGACCTTGTCAAGAAGAGAAAGTGAATCGTTAGAAGAACCAGCCCAAATATGACAACAGTATTCCATACAGGAACAAATAAGAGATTTGTAGAGGTAGAGAATGGAATCAGAAGTAAGGAAATGGCGAGCACGATAAAAAGAAGCAACCTTAGCAGAAGCTAATTTAGCAATCGATTGTATATATGGTTTCCATAAAAGGTCAGTAGTAAGCGATAATCCAAGAAGACGTAACGAGGAGGACTCAGTAAGAGGATTGCCATTCATTAATATAGGAATGTTGACCATATTACGGTAGTTGTTTGCAGTAAGCAACTGGGTTTTTTTAGAGTTGAAATTCACAAGCCACTGGGAACCCCAATATATTACTGAAGTGAGATCGGATTCAAGATCAGCTGCTTGTTCTAGGCAATCGAAAAGAGAAGACTTTTTGTCAAGACAGGAGTATAAAGTTGAGTCATCAACAAAAAGAGCTACTTTAGATAAAAGGTTGTCAGGAAGATCGTTTATGTAGATAAGAAAGAAAACAGGGCCCAGGATGGAACCTTGGGGAACCCCAGAAGTTACTGGAAATAAAGAAGAGTGTTGGCCTTCAAGGATGACTTTAATAAATCGGTTAGAAAGAAATGATTTGATAATCTCAAAAACTTTCCCAGAAATACCATATGAAGCAAACTTTGTCGAAAGCTTTAGATATGTCGAGAGCAATAGCCCTAGCCTCACCGCCTCCATTTAATGCACGATAAAATCTTTCAATTACAGCAGTTAGCAAGTCGGCCGTAGAGCGAGAGGATCGAAAACTGTATTGATTGTCTGACAGTAGTTTATTTGACTCAAGATGAGATGTGAGGAACTTGTTGATCAAAGACTCAAAGACCTTGCTAATAACAGAAAGAATACTGCTTTAAAAAAATACTGCTTAAAGAAAAGAGAAAGCGGTGCAACTTTACAATGTTGGGAGAGAGACTTAAGCTCAATAGATAAAGCAAGTCAAACCAAGTTTAAAATGTATTTTTAGACCTTGCCTAGAAGAGAAAGAGCATCATTAGAAAAACCACCCCGAATATAACAACAGTATTTCATACAGCGATGAATAAAAGATTTGTAGAGGTAGAGAATGGAATAAGAAGTAAGATAATGACATGCACTTTAAAAAGAAGCAACCTTAGCAGATGCTAACTCTCCAATGAATTGTATATATGGTTTCCATGAGAGATCAGTAGTGAATGATAATCCAAGAAGACTTAAAGAGGATTGATGAGAGGATTGATGACATAAAGAAGAGGATTGGTGAGGATCAGTGAGAGTCAATATCTGAGTTTAGTTGGAGTTAAAATTCACAAGCCACTGCAAGCCTCAAGCTGCTACAGAAATGCGATTAGATTCAAGATTGGCTGCCTGTCCTAAGCTATTAAAAAGAGGAGACATTTTGTTAAGACAGGGTTAAGTATATTACTGTAAATAATTGTTTTTGTAAATAAATAAAAAAATAAATAATTAAATAAAAATAACAAAAATAATTATAAAAAAAAATATTTTTATAACAAAATATCAAATTTAAATGTGTAAAGAAAAATAGGCATAAAATAAAAAGTATAAAAAAAACAAGCACAAAAAAAGTAGTATACAGGAATAAAATAAAATGTCTCTATAAATGTCTTTTTCTTATTTACATTTATGATAATTCTGACAATCTTACATCTAAAGTGGCTAAATTTGCTAGCAACTCAACTTTATACTCCTGTCTTGACAAAAAGTTTTCTTTTTTTAATTGCTTAAAACATGCAGATTGAATTTAATCTCTTTTATGAAACATCTTAAATTTTATATCTTTTGGAACAGCTTGAGGTTTGCAGTGATCCAAAAACACATTGTAAACATAGTTAGACCTGTTTTATCTGTCAGGCTTGAGCCTCTCTCTGTTGTAAAGTTGCATATCTTTCTTTTTTCTACAAATACTATCATGGTCGCTGCTCAAATGACTTATATATTTAGTTTTATCTAGCAAAACTCATTCTTGCTTGACTTGTCATTCAGCAAAGTTGCATCCTTTTACTGTATCTGCAAAGCCGACAACACTAGGGGGGGGGGGGGGGGAAAGCCTTCCCCCTCTGCTACACTTTTTTTTATAAGGGATTTTTTCCAAGAAATTTCAAGATAGGGAAGACTTTTTTTTAGAAATTTACAATTTCTAAAAAAGCAGCCGGCCATGATTTGTTTTTTCATATTCTAATAACTTAGACACTGTTTCAGTTTCCTACTCCTATCATTTTATGATTGATTTTGATAGAGCATTTCATGCTGATTAAGAATCATATAAAAACATGAAAAGACCTAAAAATTTGAAGAAAGTACTCTAATTTGATGTTAAAGTTTAAAAAATTATACTAAAAACGCTAACATTGCCATCATTTTAAAAACGTTGCAACCCTGTTTTTATTGTCATCATTATTGAACTTAAATTAAATTCAGTTAAATATTATAATGAGTATATATTTTTTTTAAATAAAAAATCTTTTTGTTAAAGACAGCTTTAGATGTACATAGATGGACTGACAAATAGGAATTGGCACATTTAAATGTACATACATCAACTGACAAATAGGGATTGGCGCACTTAAATGTACATACATCTACTGACATATAGAGATTGGCACAATTAAATATACATGGTTAGAGTCAGGGTTAGGGTTAGGGTCAGAATCAATTAGAAACCAATAGGTTTTACTTTATTTAGTTTTTCTTTAAAGTGTTAATAAAAATCAGACTGTTTTTAATTTAACTAAGAAAAAGAATCTAATCATATTTGTGTATGAGGGTCATTCCATGCCAGCTGGAGCAAAGGTCCCTTACCTCAGATTTTATTGAAACTTTATGATTTTGTACATATATATGAGAAAAACATGTTTTAAAAAATTTTAGGTCAATACCTAATATGGTTCTTGAGAAAACGCTATTCAAGTAGTGGGCTATTTTGCATGAAAATTCACTCTACAAGAAAAAAGGTTTCTTTCATCATTTTTAACAGCTAATAACTTTTGAACAAGTTGGTTTTATACTTCAGTTATTTTAAGATAGCAAGTATGCTATGGATACTTTAAAAAAAAAAAATTTAACTTCTGGGATCTTAACTTTTTCCATAATGGCGGGCTAAAGTTGATATTTTTGTTTTAAGATTAAAATTTTTTGTGATTTTAAAAAGCATAATCTTAAAAACTAGTTCAAAAGTTAATACAAATCAAATTGTTGATCTACATGTGGTGGATAAATATAAATCGAATTGTTGATCTACATGTGGTGGATAAATACAAATTGAATTGTTGATCTACATGTGGTGGATAAATATAAATCGAATAGTTGATCTACATGTGGTGGATAAATATAAATTGAATTGTTGATCTACATGTGGTGGATAAATATAAATCGAATTGTTGATCTACATGTGGTGGATAAATACAAATCAAATTGTTGATCTACATGTGGTGGATAAATATAAATCGAATGTTGATCTACATGTGGTGGATAAATATAAATCGAACTGTTGATCTACATGTGGTGGATAAATACAAATCGAATTGCCTGTTGATCTACATGTGGTGGATAAATACAAATCGAATTGTTGATCTACATGTAGTGGATAAATACAAATCGAATTGTTGATCTACATGTGGTGGATAAATACAAATCGAATTGCCTGTTGATCTACATGTGGTGGATAAATACAAATCGAATTACCTGTTGATCTACATGTGGTGGATAAATATAAAAAAAAATCAGTTGATTAAAGAGCTGCATTCAAAAGTTATAGGTCTTCTAAATGAGTCGGATAAAGATTTTCTTAAAATTGATCTGCGATGCAAGCAGTTGTTACGTAAAATGGCACTTTTTTTCATATAACTTTTTTAAACGCATCAATCAAAGAGTGCTAATTAATAAAAACCAAAAAAATAAATTGGCACTTATTTATAATCCAAAAAGATAGTCTCTAAAGGTAAGGTAAATTTACCATAAATTTATTACTTTTTAAAAGTTAAGTTATTGTTTCATTTAATTTTCTAATATAAAATTGTTAAAAAAAAACAAAGATTTAGACAATATTATGACTTCAAAAAGGTCTGTAGTACAAGCCAGAAAACTAAGAAAAAAAAAGTGGAATACTATCAAAACATTCTCCAAAATTAGGTAGAAAACTTAGCCAATATGTAACTACAGAGGTTGTTCAGTTCTATCAATGCGATGAATATTCAAGGGTTTGTTAAGTTAAAGTAGATAGTATAAAGCAACAAATCCAAAAGCAATTTCTACTAGTCAATATGAAAGAACTTCATATTTAGTTTAAAAAGAAACATTATTACTTTAAAAATGAATTTTCAAAATTTTGTGAGCTAAGGTCCGAATGGTGCATTCCTGTTTGCATGCCGTTTGTGTTTGCCAGTACCATGAAAATGTAAAGCTCCTCGTACAGAAAATTCCTGGAATTGTTGTTTACAAAACTTTATTAAAATTAATGGTTTGAAGCATTCAAAATAGAAATTATATGCTGCATAGCTGCAATAAATGTCCTGGAAAAGAAGTTTTAATAGATTACATAGACACTTTGTTTAACGAAAAAGAAATTAGTAAAGTTAATTTTTATCAATTTTTTACTATTTCTTACTAAATCCAAAAAGAAAAATAGTATTTTCGGTTATAAGATGTTATTAGCATAACTTGTTTTTAACAAATATCAGTTTAATTTTAAATTTAAGTATCTTATATCTATAGCACTAGTATTAGTTTTGTTTTTAAAACAAAATAAATATAAGTTGGGCTTTTAAAGAGCTTGTTTATTGATCGCGTTATTTTTAATCGGTTTAAAGTCTAGTTCGTTTTATAAAAAAAATTCTACTGCATTAAACTTAATGGCAAAGGGAAAACCCAAACAACATTTAAACTCAAGTTAGAAATAATTTTTTTGTATGACGTCATTTATTAACTACAAAAGCACATTATTTAGACCAGTATTTGGAACTGGAACTTACCTGAAACTGAACTGAAATTAAAATAAAGTTATATGTAATGCGAACATAAAGTTACTTGAATTAAATTTATTAAATTTTTTTTTACTTTAACATAAATTTTGGAAATTTTATCAGTAAAAAAAATTGTAAAATGGAACATTTTGAAATTTTGAAAAGAATTTTAATTAAATTTAATCAAATAAATTACTAAAACTATGAATAATGATAAAATTGAATCAAATTTAATAAAATAAATTGAAAATATTTTTTTTTTTTTTTAAACGGAAAATAAAAAAAAGGATATCTGTTTTTATATCTAAAAAAATAAATATTCCACAAACGTTTTTTTACAGCAATTAATTACAGTTTAATGTTTTCCGTTTAAACTGTTTTAAAAGACTGTTTAAAATAACCTTATTAAAAAAAGTTTTTGCGTAACGTAAATTGCGAAAGGCGTATGTGAAATTGTGAATACGTACAAAAAACTCAAATAGAGAAACGCTTCTTAACAAGGGCCTGGTTTATGAAAAATTAGATAATTTACAAGAGCATCATTTTATATCAAAAAGTCAAGCTACCTACTTCCAACCTTTGAAAACTAATTTAAAAGAAAAACAGACTTTATTTAATAACAGACTTCTTGACTTTACAGAAAACTATAGTTTTCTAATACAGGAAGCAGTGCAAAGTTTTCACTGGAATAACAGCCAGGCAACTTTGCGTTTCTTTGTTATTTATTTTATAAAAGATGAAAAACTTGATAGTCAAAGTTATTGTGTTATATCAGATCATCTAAAACAAGGAACAGATGCTGTTCATTGCTTTATTAATAATGTTGTTGATAACTTAAACAATTACAAACATTTAAACACATTATCTATATTAGTGATGGAGCTGTATCACAATATACAAATTACAAAAATATTATCATTTTATGATACCATAAACACGACTTTGACATTACTGCAGAGTGGCACTTTTTTGCAACATTGGATGGTAAAAGTCCTTGTGATGGAGTTGGTGGAATGGTAAAATGTCTTGTTGCACCAGCCAGCCTACAGTCACTTTATAATCCTATTGACACATCAAGCAAAATATGCGGCTGGTGTGTTCAACAGGTCAAAGGAATATTATTTATTTTTGTTGACAATGTTTCAAGTTGGAAGAGAGATACCATTCTTCTTCTACAATACCTGGGACACAAAACCACCAAAGTTTTATATCAATTTCACTTACCTCAATAAAAATAAGAAGAACTTCATTTGATAGTATTTGCACTAATGTGGATTTTTCTACTTTTAGAATTTTTATTAATAAAATTTCAAGTTACACACCAGTAGAATATGTGGCCTGCATTTATGATGCTTGATGGTATTTAGGGAATATTCTTAGTATTTTAGAAGAGCATGCAGAGATGATCTCTGTTGGGTACAATATCTTAAGGTCCAATCGAACAGAGGAAGACTTTATAATATTGACTTAAAAGAAATCAATGAGATTATTTTATTTGATTATTACTTGAGAAATTTTATTTTTTAAGAATTTTATTAATTTTGTTTATTGTCTTAAAAACTTTTTATTGTCTAATTAGCTAAAAAAAAAAAATTTCTACTGAAATTTGAAGTTATGTACAAAAAAAATATTCTAAAATTAAATATAAACAAATCTCTTAAAATATTTAGTGTAATATGTTTGTATTACAAACGTTTGTAAATTTTTTCAAAAACCAAAAGTTCAAAAGTTATTAGCTGTTAATATATATATAGCTGATAATAAAAAAAAAACTTTTTTCTTGTAAAGTAAAATTTCATGCAAAATAGCCCACTACTTAAATAGCATTTTTTCAAGAATCATATTAGATATTGATCTACAATTTTCAAAACATGCTTTTCTTATATATATGTACAAAATCATAAAGTTTCAATAAAATCTGAGATGGTCCATAAGGGACCTCGTAAAAATTTGCTCCAATTGGCATGGAATGACCCCTGAAAAAAATTTTGATTTGTATTTTAAGTGTAACTTTTTAAACTTCAACATCAAAATAGAGTGCTTTCCTCAAATTTCCAGGTCAATATTTTTATATGATTCCTAATTAGCATAAAATTTTCTATTGAAATCAATGATAAAATGATAGGAGTAGGAAACTGAAACGATACTAAAAACTTTTATTTAACTTTTTCCCCCTCTTATCAATGCTTTGAAACTCTCTCTATTCTTCGTGTTTTCCTGACTTAAATAAGTTTCAACTTTTTAAGTCTTTTGTCAACCATTTCCTGGCGCTTTAACACTATTCTTTGCTTTCTAATAACTCAATAATATATATTTTTTTTACTTATACCATCTTTACTATTTTTACCACTGGCACTAACACTATTAGCAGCAGTAGTACAAATAGTAAAGATGTAGAAGTAAAAAAAAATAAATAAAATAAAATAAAATTAATATAAGAATAACTGTAAGTAACAGTTATTCTTTTATTAATTTTATTATTAATATTATAATATTAATGACTTTAATTTAGCAAATCTGTTATTAGTATTACTTTTTGTTTTGATTGTTTTTAACAACAACAAAATACTTTATTCTAAGTTTTTGTTGTTTGTTATATTTATTTGTTTGTTATATATATATGTATATATATATATATATATATATATATATATATATATATATATATATATATATATATATATATATATATATATATACATATACATATATATATATATACATATATATATATATATATATATAAATATATATACATATATATATATATATATATATATATGTAAATATATATATATATATATATATGTATATATATATATATATATCTATACATATATATATATATATATATATATATATATATACATATATATATATATATATATATATATATATATATATATATATATATATATATATATATATATAAACATTACCTTATTTTCACCGATTGTTTTTAATCTTTTAAAAACAGTTATAATATCTTTTGGAGGAACTTTTTGATCAGCCATTATATGACTTTACACGACACAAATATATTTCATTGCCGTAAAATCAAATTTTAAGGTTGTATTTACATTGTATATACATTTAATTCCCGATAACTCGAACTTCCAAGGGTTCGACTTAACAAAAGTTCGACTAAAGCGAATTTCCGTTAAGTCGAACTTTGGTTCATATGAATAATTAGTTAGAGTTAAGATTTTTACTAATTTAAAGGTGAAGCATATACATTTTTACACCATTTCACTAATGTTTTAATGAAAGAAGTTAAGGATTCTATTCACTCAGTGCAATCAAAAGAATTCATTCGAAAAAGTTTAGTAACTCAATGACTTCCTTATTATTTGGTGACAAAATCGTGATTAAAAGTTAATGTTTTTTTATTTAAAAGTTCATTAAACTATAAGATTATTATTATTATTATTATTATTATTATTATTTTAACGGTTTTAACATAATTTACCTTTTAGCAGTTTTATTATAGCATTATTTTACGTCTGATAACCAGGGCCGCCGAGCTGTCACGCCGCCCTGATACGTCTTTTACGAACTTTTCTGATCAGATCTAAATACAAAGAAAAAATAAAGAAATTATTAAGCTTCATATACTTATGTTTTATTACGGAGTGTCTTTTTTCTTCTTTATTTAAAAAAAAAAAAAAAAAAAAAAAAAGCCGTCAATATATTTAAATTCCATATAAACAGTTCGAGTTATCCAAATAATTTACTAAAAAGGGACAAAAAAATGCTTCGACTTAACGAAATTTGAGTTATCCGAGGTTTCACTTAAACGGACAATTTTTTAAGTAATCGATTAGAAATTTTTTTTTTTATTTTTTTTCCTTCGTGAGAAGACGTGTTTTTACAAGAGCTATAATTTAAAGAAAATAATGGCAGTATTTTTAATTTTTAGTATTTTATAACTAAAAATTCAATAATTTAAAAAAGATTTAACAAAAAATTAATATATATATCGGAAAGTAAACACAGTTAAGATATAACCTTTTTGTGTTAATAAGATAGTATTAAAGAGAATAAAGAAAAAATGGCAGCAATAGAACTTTCTAATGAAACTAGAAAAAAAGTATTGGATGAAATGTACTCAGTATACAAAAAAGAAACGGAGTTAATGTTTAAAGAACAAAAAAAAAACTTGATAAGCATAATAAGTGCAAATACCAAAATGACTAACGATCAAATGGCTAAAGTTGAAAAGTATACTCGCAACAAAGCTAAAACAATCAAGTCGCTTGAAAATAAAGTAGCGAGTATCGTAGAAAGTTTAAATTTCTACGAAGAACTTTTTGATAGAAAAATGAGGACTTTCTCTGATTCTTTCAAGAAAGATGATATATTAAGCAAAGGAGCGATAAAAAACTATAACGATAATATCAAGGTAATGAACAATATAAATAAAGAATCTGTACGTATATTAAACACTCGGATAGACAAGCTTAACAAAAAGCTAAAGAAAGCACCATTATCCAACAAATTGGAATCATTTGCAATCATACTTAAGGATAAATTAGCTGAGGAAGTTCAACAACGCCATCGACTAATCAACATCGTCACGGCTGAAACTGAAAATCGACAAAACCGGGCATCTAATGTCATAATCGTAGGGTTACCCAAATCAGACGAATACGACGATATAATAGCTGCAAACAAGTTTTTAATTCATGTGGAGTTGACAGTGCCAAAATAGGCTACGTCAGCAAAATTAAATCTAACAAGATAAACAACACAATCCATAACTCCAACATAGTCAAGGTCTCTTTAATAAATGAACAATCTCGATCTGAAGTGCTTCAGAAATGTAGTCACCATAATATTGTTGAATTCAAAAGAATTTTCTGTCGTGAAGATTGAACTTGTTCACAACAAGAGGCATTCAATGAGCTACAAAGTAAAATAAAAAAACTTAACGACGAACTATATGCTGCGGATGTACTTGACAAACCATTTCGAAATGCTATCCACAAGGGTACCGGAGAAATCTGCTGCATTGATGTTCAAAAATCAAATGAACTACATAAATATGTCTTTGCCTCTCCAGCAAGCACTCTTGCACCGCACTGTAAACGTCTTCTCACAACCGTGCAAACTCCAACGACATAATATAAACCCAATCCCACAAACCAAAGCAAAACGTAAACAACATTTATCAAATAACTCATTACAAGACCTGCAGTTACCGGCTACTTCGCCACGTTTAAGTTTACCTTCAATAAACTTCTTCCGCTTCTAGGTAAATAACCCATGCTCATTAAACAGCGAAAAACTCCATGAACTTGTAGCAAGACTTACTTCTATTGACAAATCTGAATGGCCACACGTAATATTCTTTTCTAAAACCTGATTCAGTGCTACATCAGACACTACGATTGCTGACTATCAGCTGCATACACAGACCGTGATGGTAGAGGGGGCGGTGTTGCAATCTACATCATAGATTGACTCGTTAACAGCAAGGTTACCGACGTTGCACTCACCTCGACATCCATGGAACAAATCTGGCACATAACACATTTTGAAAACGAATCAATTCTTCTAGGTTGTATGTATCGCCCAATAGAAAAAAACGACGATACGCTCACTCAGATTCTTGCCTCTATTAAAGCAGCGCAACAGATATTGCCAAAATTAAAATGTTCAACAATGCTTTTGTATAGTGATTTTAATTTTAGCCACACCAGTTATAAATCATGCAACATTGGTGGTGGTATAGAAACAACCGCTCATGTAACTGAACAACGTCCCGGTGATATCAAATTCCAAGAGTGTCTTAAAGACTGCTGTTTTACTCAACTAGAAACATTCCCAACATACTGTAATAACATGCTTGCAACTCCAAGTAGCACGCTTGACCTCGTCATCAACAATAATCATGATTGCCTAAACTCAATAAACGAAACAAATTCGCTTGGACATACACCTATGGGAAAAACTCACTGTATTTTAGTCGGTCTTTTTGCAGTAAACTTCAACAAGAACAAACTAACGTCTCCTAGTCGCCGACGGCTTATCTGGAGTAAAGCAAATTTTGATGCAATTTCATTACATACGATTTCTAAAGAAATACTAAACAATCTCTCTGTAAACAATCTGTACAGTTGGTTTATTGACGTATACAACTACAACTACAACTACAACAACAACTAGTAAGCAGTTTCAAAAAATTCAAAAGAATTCAAAAGAAAAAAAAAGCATTAAGTACATAATCACATTAGTATGCTTGAAACTAGCGATGGTAACATCAACAAAGATTCTAAGTTTATAAGTTCAACGATTAACAATTATTTTCATTTAATTTTTGTCGAAGAACCCCCAACACCTTTACCAATATTTGAAGAAAAAAAAAGTGCAACAAAAATTATATTGTTGATTAAACATTTTAATTACGAAAAAAAACTACAACTACTAGATCTAACCACGCTGGAAGAACTCAAAATTCGCAGTGACCTTATACTGCAATACAAAATTGTTCATCACTTACAAAAAGTTAAATTTTAAAGCCTTTTTTGTTAAATTCGAGATATAATCTTAGAAGAAACAGCCGATGTTTAAAACCACAACTGATCAAAAGAAATTCAGAACGTCAGCACTTCTTTACAAACCGAGTTACTAACCAAAGGAACAGATTAGCTCAGAATGTAGTTGATGCACCCACTGTGCAATTTTTTAAAAAACACGTTTAAAATGCTGTTTCGGCTGCAGCAATGTCCATTGTCAGCATAGGAAAGCCTGATGTGCTTCCCTTTATCAATTCAATCAAGAAGTTGTATTGATTACTGTAATAAATAAAATAAAATAAAAAATTTCATGAGCGGGAGAAGAGGCTTTTAGCGATAAATCCATGAAAAAGCCACCAGAGTTGTCTCTGCCAGGAAAGGAATGTTAAGGACAGGGAATGTCTTAAGAGTTTCTTCCTATTTCAGCTAAGGGTCTGGAGGAGCGCTGCATGTACCCTTAGCAGGGTCTGGGGATCTTAGAAGCCTAAAATTATGCTCAAGTTTATTTTATAATATACTTTAGTTTATCTTATACTCTACCCGACGGGCATTTGTTTTTAAAAGTTACGTTCTAAATGTATTTTAAATGTCTTTTAAACGTCTTCTAAACATTCTTACGCAAAAAACGTTTAAAAGACATTTAAAATACATTTAGAACATAACTTTTAAAAACAAATGCCCGTCGGGTATGTAATTGTTCATCAGGTGTACTGGTATAAAGTGAGCATTAAGATTTTGTTTGTTTGGTATAAATTGTCGTGTGTAACCATTCGGCAAATTTATATGCCGAAGTTTTTAAATAATAGGGAACATTTTTTGATAACGAGCCTTAATTTTGTTTAAAATATACGTTAAGTCGTTAAACAAACAACGTCCTATTTTTTTTGAGTTAAAAATGTAAAGCTTTTTTCCAGAAAGTGATAATTTGCGGAATTTTTTGTATTCATTTGAAGAAAAATGGTTTTAAAAAAGGTTGAGAGATAATGGTTTTGATGTGAGAAATGAAGAATGTGGAATACTATCAATAACTTTTGAAGACGTAGAATTGCAAGCAATATTGGATGAAGGTGATACTTTAAGCTGTTAACGCTGATCGCTGCAGACAACAAATAATAAATTTGAACCATGCATTGATTAAAAAATGACCAGAACAAGACCAGAAAAGACACGCCAAATTAATTTGTTACACGTCAATTCACTTGTACACAAAGCAATACCGGTTCAGTATACAATCAAAACACTTGGCTGAAAGCTGCTCCCCCACCCGCCGTATTCACCAGACTCTGCCCCTATTGACGACCTTTTAATTTTATTGATGGAAAACGCATTGGTTAATTAGCACTTTGATTCCTATAAAGAAGTTGAATTTGGGTGTCTGATTGGTTTACTTCAAAAGACAAACGTTTCTATAAGCGTATTGTCCACAAATCACTAGAAAGGTGTTTAAAATATGCAGAAAGCAATGGTCAATACTTTGAACAAATAATCTTTAGTTTTCCATTTAAAACTAGTTTTCATTTTTACACAAGAAAAACTCACTTCAGACTCC